CCACCAGGAATCGGCCTGTGCGCCCCCCCTCCAGGGAGGCTCCTGCGTGGCTGGTCGACGCTGAGGCGGGCGATTTCGGTAGGTTCGATTGGGTCGCACTTGCTGACGCGCATTCTCCCTACCCCACTTGCCTATGGGGACGGCTCGCCGCGCTAGTCCTAGCACAGGGGCTCCTTGCGCGGGGGAATGCCCGGGCCGCCCATGGTCTGGCGCACGTCCCCCTCTCTCGCCCGCCCCCGCGGCCGACGCATGGTTTGCAAGCGCGGCCGCCGCAACTGGGGTCGAGGCGCCGGTTTTTCTCGAAGCTCCCGGCACGCTTCCGCAGCCCGACCCAGCGCAAGCCGAGGCTCCAGAGATTCCTAGGCGGAACGCCTCTCCCGCGGTGGGCGGCGGATGCCTCGGGGGAAGGAGCGCCGAAGGTGCCGCTGAGCTCTCCGCGCTTCCCCATGAAGCCTCCCAGGGCGCGTCGCCTTTCGAAGCGCCCTTCAGGCCGGGTGCGGCCCCCGTTGCCGCTGGCCCGCCCGGCGCGCCCGCCCAGCTTTCGGCGGCCAGGCCGAGGCTCGCCGCCCGGACCGATCCCAAGCGACCCGCCAAGGTTGCAAAGGTGCGGACGGCGCGCGAGCTCCTTCAGCTCAAACCGGGTGCCGACCGGTCGGCCATGGAACGCCAGTTCCGGCGGTTGGCCACGCCGCACCGCCCGGACAGGGCGCGCCATCGCCCATTGTCCGCATCGGACCGCGCGGACGCCTCTCCCCTCTGGTCCAGGTTCTGCGACGCGAAGTCGCTCCTGCTTGGCGAGGCTTCTCGTTGCCAGCCGGGGGCGGGAACCCTACCTTGCCAGGAACGGGAGCACGGGACTTGCCGCGGAGGCGTTCGTGCGGGCCCGCGCCTATATGCAAGAGCGCGGCCGTGGCCAGACGGGCGCGCCGCCGGCGCCTGCCAGTGCTTGCAGCCCGAGCTGGGCGGAGCACGGCCGGATTTCGGGGCCTCCGCCTCTGGGACTCCCTCGGCGCCCTGCTCTTCGCGCGGAAGGCGCCATCGGCCAGCTCGTCCAGCGGAAACGGTTCGCGCTGAGCGCCCCCGTCGTGCGCGCGCTGCTCGTGCGCCCGCGGCGCTGCTCTCGGCGCCTGGCGCGGCCGCGCCGCCCCCGGGTCGTAGGGCCAGGCGCGCTGCCAATGTCGCGCTGTGGGGCCAGCCTTGCGCGCGCCATCGCGCCGCCGCGTCGGCGGACGAGGGGCGTGAGCCTTTGCCTTCGCGCTCCTGGAGCCCGGGCCTTGGAGCAGGCGCGCCCGGTGCCCCCTCCAGCAGCGCCCGGCTCGGCAGCACCTCGAAGTGGCGCGACGCGCCGCTTGCGCCGGGGGACGGCGCCCGCGTTCCGCATGCTTTTTCCGACCGCGCCCCGCGACGCCAGTCGGACTCGCAGGACGCGCCGCCAGTGGCGTCGCCGCGGGGCTCTCGCCGCGCACCGCCGCCGCGGGGCGCTCGCGCGAGCACCCGCTCGGCTGGCCCAGCCGCCCGCTTCGCGGCCGCTCCGCCGCCGCGCGGCTCCGGCAGCGACCCCGCTTGCGACCTCGCTTCCGGAGCTCGCGACCCGCCCACGGTCACCGGCTCGGCGAGCTCCGGGAGCTTGCCGGTTGGCGCATTCTCGGCGCGGGGCGCCAGGATCAGCATGGGCCCTCCTGCTCGCGCCGCCAGTGCGCCACCAGCATTACGCGTCGACGGTGCACCCATGCGGGTTCCTGCGGATCGATTGCGGCCGAACGCGCTTGCGCGCATACCCGCGGCCTCGGGGCCCGCCGCCGCCTCCTTCGCCATGCTTGAGGCCGCGCCCCGTGCCGGGGCCAGTCCGGGGTCTCTTGGCCCCGCGGCCGCGCCTCGCGCCGCACTTCTGTCGGTGGACTCGCCCGTTGATAGCGCGGATCTCCCCCAACCTAGCGGAGCCGCGCACGAGAAGGGCTCAGACGCGTTGTCGGCTGCGCCACACCTTCTCGACTCCTTGGAGCCCTCTGCGCGCGCGGCTCGAGGCCTGCCCCGAGACGGGGCGTGCGCTACCTCGGTTGCGATGCGCACCAGCCGAGTCGCTGGCCCAGCGGCCGCGGTTGCGCGGCGCGCGCGTGCCGACCGGCGCGCTCGCGCGCGATTCCTATCCTCGGTCGCCGCTGCCGAGGCCGCTCTCACCGAGGTTATGCTGGGAACAGGCGAAGAGACTGGCGAGAGCGCGGGAGAACTGGCGAAGCGAATGCAGACGCTCTTAGCCGAGCTCGAGCGGCGCAAGGATGCGATGCGCATCGCCCGCTCTCGTCTTGCTGATTGCGTCAGAGAGGCCGCCTCCGCTGGATTCCCTGAGGCGGCGGCGTACTCGCCCTCGCCTGTGGCAGCGCCAACTGCCCTCGCGGAGGTGGACAGCGCCGCCGAGGCGGAGGCCAGGGTTGGTACGGGCTTGCACAGCGAGGCTGAGCCGGCGCGGCATCGCGACGAGAGTGCCACCCTGCCTGGCCTCGGCGAGTCCCCCACCCCGCGCGCCGCCGCCGCCGCAGGGCGGCAGAGACGGAGCCTCCCAGCGCTCCCTGGTCAGGCGCTGTTCTGACTTCGGCCGGCGATCGGCGCAAAAGAGCTCTCTACGCGTTCGAATTGTGGTGCGCCGAGGGCGCAGGGGTGGCGCCACTTCCGCTGTATCGTAGTGGGATCCTGCTGTCGAGGTTCCTCGCAACGTTCGGCGTGTGGCTGCACGACGCAGGTTTCCCGCTCAACATCCTGGTGCACGCGATCATAGGCGTCCAGGCACGTCTCCCTCATTGGAAGCCCTTACTCACCGAGGCGTGGGGAGTGGCGAGGGCCTGGAAGCGGTCTCAGCCACCTCGCCTTCGGCCGCCAATGCCACGAGCGCTCTTGCGCGCTATGGTGGCAGTTTGTTTCACTTGGGACTGGCCAGTCATGGCCGCCTTGCTGCTGGCAGGGTTCGCGATGTCCTTGAAGCCCGACGAGCTGCTGTCAGCCCGTCGCTGTGACCTTTTGTTGCCTTCGGATTGCCTTGAGTCCTCAGGCAACGCTTGGATGACCATTCCCGATCCAGTGAGCAGCATGTCTTACCCGCCACAGCACGCCTGGTGCTCTGACAAAGCGGTGGTTCGGGTTTTGGAGATGGTCTTTCGGCATTTGGGTCCCACCGATCCTCTGTCGACCTTTGGTCAAAGCGGCTTCCGTACTCGGTGGCACCATTTACTTTTGGCGTTAGGCGTACCGCTCGCCGAGACGCCAGCGGGGTTCCACTTGACCCCTGCTTGCCCCCGCGGCTCAGGCGCGACAGACTTTCATACGGCCACAGAAGATATTGGTCGTATCTTCTGGCGTAGTCGCTGGCGCCAGGCGTCTAGCGCGGAGCGCTTCTTGCACGACGATGCTTCCGCCGCGATGCTTTCCGCCTTGCCTGATGCCGCTCGGGCCCGTGTCACCTACTTCGATGGCGCGAGCGACTTCCTTGTCGCTTCCTTTCTGAACTGTGGCCCCACTGCGTGGCCCCTTCTGCTCGCGGCCGCCCGCCAAAACCTTGTCACTTCGCAAGGGCTTTGAGCCTGGGTATGGCTGCTACGGCCACCTGGCCGTCCAGATGGCCTCGTTGGACGAGGTCGTCTGAGGGCGCCGCACGGCTTGGGCGCGGCGCCCCGTCAAATCCTTTTACGGTCGCCGCGCGCGGCGCCGCGCGCCCGCCTCCGGGACCTGATCGCGTGCGCTGCGTGCGGGAGAATGCGCTTCTCTATTCTCCTTGCCGCTCGCGCCCGTTCAGGTCCTGCAGCTTCTCGGCCCCCTCCCCCCCTCCCCGCCTTACTCAGGCAGGCCTGCGGCGCTGCTACGGCCACCTGGCCGTCCAGATGGCCTCGTTGGACGAGGTCGTCTGAGAGCGCCGCACGGCTTGGGCGCGGCGCCCCGTCATCCTTTACGGGTCGCCGCGCGCGCGCCGCGCGCCCGCCTCCGGGACCTGATCGCTTGCGCTGCGTGCGGGAGAATCATCATCATCATCATCATCATCATCATCATCATCATCATCATCATCATCATCATCATCATCATCATCCCTCTCCTCCTCCCTGTCCCTCTCCTCCTCCTTCCTCCTCCTCCTGATCCCTCCTCCTCCTCCTCCCTTCTCCTCCTCCTCTTCTCTCCTCCTCCTTCTCCTCCTCCTCCTCCTCCTCCTCCTCCCTCTCCTGCTCCTCCTCCTCCTCCTCCTGCTCCTTCCTCCTCCCTCCTCCTCCTCCTCCTAGCCTCTCCTCTCCTCCTCTTCATCCCTCCATCTACTCCCTCCTCCACCTCCCTACCCTGCCTCCCGTCACCTGCTCCTCCTCCTCCTGCGTTCCCTCCTCCTCCTCCTCCTCCTCCTCCTCTCCTCCTCCGCCTCCTCTTCCTCCTCCTCATCCCTCCTCCTTCTCCTTCTCCACCATGGACGCACTGCTGCAAACAGTCGCACCAAGCAGAGGTCGGGAGCCAGACCCTCCCCCCCCCTCCCGCCCAATGTCGAAACGCCGAATAAGAAACCGCTCACATGGGTACCTTCTTATCTGCATTTCGAGGCAAATCCATCCTTGGCGACGAGGGCCCCAACCAGGACGGGAAAGAGCTCGGAGATTCCCCTCCCCCTCCCCTCCTGGAGGACGGGTTCGGACCCCGGCAGCGCAGTGCCCTACTGAGTCACCAGAGAGTCGTGCAGCTTGGCCCAGGCTCCGCAGGGGACCCCACCTGGAGGGAAGAGGGCACACCAGAGCCTGACACGATTTGCCCCTACACGGGCGGGGTCTACTGCTGTGGACGTCGAAACTGCTACTCCCCACATTCCTCTCTCGCTGGTCGCCTTCTCCTGCTGGGACAAGGGGTTCGCACGCGTGCTGCTTGCCTCTTGAAGCAGAGGCCTTTCCGCCTGAGGTCCACTGCGCCTCGCATTCGTGCAGCAGTCGATGGATCTCGCCGAGCGGTTCCTGTCCGGTCCCTTCCTCGCCGCCGCCCCTCAGGAGATCCTCCGCATCCGCGTGGACGTCGTCGTGAGGGAGGAGGAGAGTGGCCGCCGACCGAGGCCGCAGACAGTGCAGGAGACGGCGCCGTCATCGCCGCCGCCGTCGTCGTTGTCGTCGTCATCGCCGCCGCCGCCGTCATCGAATAGTCGCTTCTAGAGAAGAGCTCCTGCTGGTCTATGGGAACGGTTCTGGGCGCTCTCGCCTGGACGCGGACTGCATTGTTAACACCGATGCTCCCGCTCGCGCGCGGGCTTGGTAGAGGCCCAGTTGCGACAACAGAGGCTCCCGCGCGATACTTCCGTATACTGTGCTCTGAGACGCCCTGTGCCAGAGAGGCCCCCAAACTTAGGAATGGAACTCTTGCCAGAGACTTCCTGGCAATTCAGTCAGTCAAGTTGGCGAAGGCCCAGCTACGACTGCAACGGCCCCCTCTCGATACCTCCTCCCGGTGTACTCCGAGGCGCCATGGCCAAAGAGAGTCCTGAGCCTGCTCAGGCGCCATGCCCGCCGCAGCCGTTTTGGTCCTCAGGCCGCCGCGGTCGGAGACCAGACACCCTTCATCGCCCGGCCCACCCCCCCGCCCGCATCGAGCCACTCGGCGGCGCGCCGAGGCGGGCGGTGCGAGGGGGCAGAGTCCTTCTCGGAAGGCGGCGGATCTCCTCGGAAGCCCTCCGGGGCTTCACAGGAGCCCGCCGGCCCTCTCAGAAGCCGCCTCGTCTTCGGGGAGAAGGTTCAGGAAGCTGCTCCGGAGGCCCCGACTCCCCTCTGCTGGTGGGTCCTGGGCCAAACAATTCGGGCCCCTCCTCCGGACGATCCGTATACTCCCCGGACGCTCTCGGGCACCCCGAGGCTAGAACGCCGCCGCGGATCGTCGGAAACGTTACGAAACCTCGAACCTCGAACCTCGAACCAGAGCTCCTCGAAGTGCCCCCCGCCCCGGGCGCGCCGCCGATCGTCGAGCCATGGCCCGCCGCACCGCCAGCGCGCTGCTGCCACTGGCGCTGATGGGAGGAGGGGGAGGAGTGGGGGGGAGGAGGAGGAGGAGGAGGAGGAGGAGGAGGAGGAGGAGGAGGAGGAGGAGGAGGAGGAGGAGGAGGAGGAGGAGGAGGAGGAGGAGGAGGAGGAGGAGGAGTCTTTGGCCGTTGGGCCTTCGGCGTGCGGCGCGGTCCGAGCCCGCGCCGCGCCCAAAGCAGCCCCGCGGTGAGCGGCAGGGCTGCGCGTCAGAGGACGCTGACGTCGCGGATGTTAACGACTGTGACAAAGTCCGTCTTCCGCATGTGGTTGCAGCAGAGGCACTTCGCAATCCGATGAGGGAGCGGGTTGCTCTCCCCTTTGGGCACCTGAGGTCCGTCTGGGGATCCTTCAGGTACCCTGGGCGTCGGCACGCCCTGTTCCCACCTCCGCAGCTTCACGTCGTCGTGGTGGTAACTCAGCTGGGACATCGGCATGATGTCCTCGTTGTCGCGGAGGCAGTCCGTGCTGTACGCGTCGTGCGGCCTCCTGCGGGGCTTTCTGCGTGCGAGGATTGGTTGAGAATCCCTCACAACGCTGCCTCAGCTTTCTGGCGGTAGCTGGATGCTCAGCATCACATGTGCCAGCACACCGTCGGCAGCAGTAGGTGCCCTTTTCGAGGAATACGTCGTGACCAAGTCCAGCGTATGCAGCCAGTAGGTCTGGATCCCCTGACTGTGCATCCTCTGGTCGCGCACCTTGGGTGCAGAGAGTCTGGCTCTCTGTCACCCCTTCGTCCTGGCCCTCCAGTAGGCCCAGTACCATGGCGATGCGTTGGTCGCCCGCAGGTCGCCATTGTAGCCTGGACTGTCGGAAGTGAGCCGCCGCCATGGCCTTCCCGAGGGCAGTGGGACAGCACCGCCTCAGTGACCCAGAACGCAGCGTCGCCAGGGACGCCTTTGTACTTGCCGACGCGTTACACGTACGGCAGCGGAACTGGCCGCTGCTCGTGCAGACCATGAAGTCGTGATCATCTGGGCGACCGAAAACCACAGGTACATCATGATGTGCAAGCGGCCTTAGTACCTCTTGATCTACCCCATAGCGCCTGTACCTCACCACCCTGAGGCACGCATATGGCAAGTATTGTAGAACCTGCCGATGTTGCTTCATGGCCTGGGTGAGCGATTCAGCGAATACGTGCGCCACAGTATGTTGCGCAGCACCGAGCCTAGCGAAATAATCCGCCCAGGCATTGCCAAGCCAGTCCTGGACGTCCTGCGCCGAGGCCCCTTCCAGAAGCTGCCCCGCATCACGGTGTGCAGGGGTCCATCGGAATGCAGGAGTGGATCTGCATGTCCGTTTCACTGCAGCACCAAACATGCCCCGCCACACCCGAGCGTGCTTATTTCTCCCCGTAGCAAAGGTAGGGTCCCAGGTGCTCCCTTCACCCACTAGGGATTTATAAGTCTGTAACAATCACGGCATGATCAGGGTGTGCCTCCAAACCCATTTTGATGGCATACCTCTCGGCACGTCCAACCGTTTGCACCAGGTAAGGTGGCGGGCCATAGACGGCCCGACATGGTAACCAGGTGCGCGGGTCGAGCTGCACGACCGCCTGGCCACATCGTCGGACCTCAGGCAGGCTGGATTCATAGCCTGACCCGTCAGTGTATGAGATGGGCCCCCATGTCCCATCGCAGTCACCCCACCTGTGCACCGTGCTCCCAATGGTGCCGTGGTGTGGTATTCCAGCGGGGGCTGAGGTGCACCAAACACCAGGTAGGTTTGGTCGTAGCCTGCTTACACCAGCAGAAGCGACAGCACCACGTCGCATGTGCTCACGTACCTCAAGTAGGGTATATGGGATGGTAAAGAAACTGTCAGACTGCGTCAGCAGTCTGGCTGCCACTCGCCCTCTGTTCATCACTGGCACTCCCCTCCGCAGGTTCCCTCGCCTCTGTCGGCTGAAAGTCAGTGGAGGGCGGATGTTGGTCGTGGTCGAGCTCCTCACCGATATCCAGAGTAACAGCCATCTCCTCCACCTCTTCCCCGACCGCTGGGAAGACATCGTCCTCGTCAGCGGCCCGATACTGCCGGGGAGTTTGGCAGTGGTCTTGTGGATCCACAGACGGAGGAGCAGGGGGGAAGTTGCGTACAACACCTTTCATTTGTACTGAATTTCCCCCGTCTTCTGTGGCGTGGTGGGTTGGTGGCGTAGTATTGCTGCCAGCAGAAGGTAGCCTGTCAGAAATCTGCGCCAGGCTGGTCGACGTCACTCCAGCCACAGGTGTGCCGACGGTCGGCTGCCTCCTTCCTTGGATTTTTGCATCCGCGTGCCCTGCTTCGGGTGGACCAGTCTGGTGGTCTATCCCCAGCGGCTCTGGATCCCCCGCCTCTTGCGAAAAGGGATTCAATCACACTGTCCTCCTGGGTGTTGTCCGAGAGGAACAGGCCTGGGCAATCTAGCAGTACATGTCCCCAGCATGTGTCCTGATGCAGCTGCTTCCCACACGCCTGACAGGGGCGCATGGGGCGGCCCAATTTCTGATCACGTCGAATGGGTATAGGAATATTATCCGCCCAGTGGGCCTGGAGGGCTCCAAGGCCTCGGGGCTCACGCATGCCCATGATAGCGTAACGTAGTCCACGATGCCAGATTCGCGCGCCATCATTGGTCGGTCAGTGTCGTTTTAGTCGCTCGTGCTGCCATCTCTGCACTCCTTGTTCAAGGAACGGGCGCAGATCAGCAGGACATACCTGCAGCAGGTCAAACCTGTCACCTAGCTCACTAATAACGACATGTGTGTGGCATACGTCCCATCCAATCCGTCGTAAGGTGAGTATTGTGGCGCTGAGGGGGCCACGCGAGTGACACCATCCCAAGTGCTCCCCATGAGTCCTCTGCAGCGCATTCCATGCGTGCCATCACCGCCGACAGTTACGAAGCTCTCTGAGGCGTATGTCCGTCCACCCTGAAACGCCCGCGCCATGGGCGACGGAGGGGCTGGCCCCCGTTCGCCAGAGGGTGGCTGTTCGCCTACCCACTGCTCGTCGCAGCATCAGAAAACGGTGGCACCGTCCGTGCAGCTGATGGATCCGCTGCTTCTCCACCGTTCGTCGAATCCCTGGCCCATGAAGTTCATGTCCCAGGTTTCGCATGTGGGCTGCTCGTGGGAATCGTCGCAGGTGATGGGCCTCAGCACTAGGTCTCCCTCGAGCACGTCCTCCGCCTGCTCTCAGTATCTGGTCGAGGGCCTGTCGCGTCCGAGTGGAACCAGCCACCAACGCCGACTTTTTGGGCTGGAGGACGAGTCCCAGCAAGGCCGCACGATCGGCAAAGTGGGTCGCGGCCTTCCACAGTTGTGGCAGCTGTGATGCATCTGGGCTCACTAGCTGTAGTCCTACATCATCCACCAGCGCTCGTGGACGTACCATTGGGCAAATCTCCTTGGTGCGCTGGACGGTGCAGTAAAAGAGCAGGTAAATAGTAAGTATGCGGCATGCGTGCAACCCGCAATAATGCCCTGGTTGGCCGAGAAAGGCCTGGAATAGCTCCCATATGCCTTGATGCGCTTCGGCTGGCGGTATAGCTCCATAAGCATCCATAGTAGACGAAGCGTGTCGCCGAGCGCCCTGGCTTCCTCCAGGAGTGCCTGTGGCCTGACCATCTCAAACCATTTGGGCATGTCTAGGAGAATGGTGGCGGTGTGCTCGCCTACCAGATCGCCCGCCTCTTGTTCGAGGTTATGCGAGAATGCGGAGTCGGAGGAGGTCTGGCCTCCTCTCGTTCTCCACATCTCTTCACAATGATGTGCACATTGCCACTCGGCGGACAGCGGCTGGCGCGCTGTGGCCCAAATTCGGACCAGAGTCGCTCCCAGCACAATGAGTCGATGTTCTCCATCAGGCTTTGGGAGTCGAACGAGTTCGCTTATCACTCGGTCTGTGGGCCAGGCCAGGTGAAGTTCAAACAGCCCAAGCATAGCTCTTCTGAGGAGTTCCAGTAGCACTGGGGGTAGCCGGCTAGATCCCACAGCCGTGCGGGCCGAAAACGTACGGCCCTCAGGCGCTCCTCATACCGCCACATGCGATCACGCTCATGGCGAAAGTGTAGTGCCCA